GGCTCAATTATCATCCCAGGTTAAAATTCGTTCGCCTTGACCTTCGGGGTGTTCGCATGTGCCCGCGCCGCCGTCTCATCCAGACAGCCGCGACAACCCTTGATTACAGTCACGTGGTAAGGGGTCAAGGTCAGTCGCGGTGCGATGGAGTCGCAAGAAATCAAAGGACACACCGTGGATGACGCTGCTCTGTAGTGGTGTCCCGCTCGTCTTCTGCTGCCACGCAAGCCATTCGTTTCATCACGTAGGCGCCACATCCTCTGATCCCGTTCAAGCGTGCCACACCAACACGCATCGGGACTTCCTCCTCGCCACTTGCCGCTAAATGTATGACAATGCTGCGAAGGAAGCAGAAGACTACAGAATCGCTCAGGGGTAAAAGATGCCTTTCCTGAGGAGTTATGGAGAACCAATGTCTGTTGCTCTACCAGTTTCCACCGGTCTCGCGCGTGCGACATGTAAAATGGTGTCCTTGAAGGGAGTTGGAGGAATGCAACAAAGTCAGTACAAAGACCAGTAAAATGAATTTCAACTAGAAGCTTACTTCCGCTTTCCTATTTGAGTCAGTACTAGGACAAATAAAATTATTTTATGCTAGAGGGATCCTACATTGGCAGATTCCGTTAGCCCCCGCACGTGGCGGTGCGCAGTATTAGCTGCCGGGCCTGGAGACAACATGGCGAGTTTTCAGTGCGCAATCACAACCGTACCCAGTTCTGCTACCAAGTTTGAGCTCACAGCACCAGACTCGGCACTAGCACCAGCACCAGCACCAGCACTAGACTTCGCATCAGCACCAGCACCAGCACCAGCATGAGTGCAGCACTAGCTCAGATCGGAACGACACAAACAACACTTCCAAACGACGACGTCAGCTGTTTTCTGTTGGCGGCAGTTAGACCAAACCCTATCCCATGAGCTCAGAGCAGACCAGACCAGACCAACGGGAATGCCTGGTCAGACCGCTGTTACCAAGTCAGGAAGGAAGTCTGTCTAGACCAGAAAGCTGAGCGTGTCGCCATCCACCGGCGACAAAGCCGGATATGGCCCACCGCCTACGCTACGTGCAACAGCTGACCACGAAAGATGGCCGCCCCCATCCATGAGGAACATGGTGGCCGAGTCCTGCCAGCCTCCGCTGTCCAACAGCTGGTGAATCGACCACCCACGACGTTGCCATCAAGGAAAGGGCGCGCAAGAACTCCACAAACGCGGTGCCAGTGGACAACACACGAAGAGCAATGTAAACGGGTCATTAGTTTCGCGCATGAGCTGCCAGGGGACGGAGGGGGGAGGGGTAGGGAACGTCACGAAGGTCCAGGTCGGGTCAACGGCCTCGCGGGACTCGCCCGCATCGTCAGGCAATGCTAGAGTCGCGTTCGGTCACGTCGAGAGGTGTCATCGTGCGGTGATTGGCCATCGCAGCGGTCACGTGACACGAAGCCGGTGCAGCTGACGAAACGGATGCCTCAGCACCCGTCGGTCCAATCGGATGTCAAACGCCGATGGAACCATCGAGCGGTGGGATGGGCGACCCGCCATCGCGGATCACAACCTTAAAGGCGATGCCCCCGCACTGCCGCCGGCATCACCTCGACACCACGGCCAGGCAAGGCACTTATATCACAAGGACCACCAAGATGGCGGCCGCCCGCAGCCGGCTATGCTTGCCAACAACACAGTGCACGTGCCAGCAGCGAACCTCGAGCGCCGACACGGCACACCAAAGGCGCGCCGCGTCCGAAGACGGCCAGCAAGAGCGTCTGGCGCCGCCACTTACAAGAGAACTAACTACCAATCGTCGCGAAGCCTGGGCTAGCCAATCACCAATCACAATCGAAATCACAGGGGCCAATCGCAGGCCTCGATCTGACCACAACGGCGCTATTCTAGTCTAGTTGTTCCAAATTCACCGGTCTCCAACCGCTTGGCCATCAGACCGCGGGGTCCGCAGCGAGCCTAGAACGACTTGATGACGCTGGGGGCCTTCAGGTTGCTACCGCTGAAGCTCTGTATGAGCATCATCAGTTTCTTGCGGGCGCCGATGGTCTTGACGCCCAGCTTCTTGAGATCCTCCTCGGTCATAGCCAGGAACACCTGCAAGTCGATCTCTTCGTCCCGGAACAGCTCTGTTGGCAGGGTCAGAGGTCAAGGTCGCACGCGCAGGGGACGCGGACGGCACGAAGCATGGTCTGAGCGAGTCCTTCGTCCTCTGGTAATTTACAGCCATGTCTCACTCAACTCTGCACGTGGTGCACACTAGCAAGAGTATCAATGGTGCATTACACATATCCTAACGTTTATTGGCGTTGGATGAAAGTCGTTAGTCCTCAGTGCAACACTTGAATCGGGTGGAAACAAGGATAAGGGCCGGGCAGAACAAGACGACACCTCTCGTCCGTACTTTTTATGAAGTATGGGAGCGTTTCTCCAAGAAAGAACTTCACCAACCTAATCAGGAAAGTTTCATGTCACATGGCGTTTCCACGATACACTACATCTCAATTCGATTTCGATTCAATTCATCTCATTCATTCGATTCGATTCAATTCATTTTCCATTTCGGTTCGATTTCGATTCAATTCATCAATTCATTCGATCCGATTCAACTCATCTCAATTCGATGACACGCTTTGGTCTGAGAATTTCACAAACAAATTTCAATGACATAAGTATTTTCTTAAATCGGTACACCCCATCACACTGAATACTGGCTTTTGTCAGTAGAACAATCGGAAGGTTAGAAGGAAGGACGGCCGAAATGTCAAGACCCTCCACGGTCTTGTTACCGACAACGGTTAGTGAATACATCCCGCGAACCTCGACTTAGTCTAATTCATCTACTCCGCCAGCATGCTGAAGGCATCCACTCACCCGAATACTGTTTGAGGCCGTCAATGCTCTCCAACAGCTCAGCCAAATCCTTCACCGGGTTGGTCGCTTTCGGGAGGATGCCGCAGTCGAAGACGTTCGACTGGCTGAGAAAGCTTGGCAGACGGCTGTCACCGGTGCTGCGATTGGTCGACGGCCAGGCGGAAGGCGTGGCCATAGAGGTGGTAGTCAGCAGCCCCAGCTTCTGCCGGAAGACAGCGCAAACACACATCTATTAGAAGAACTTCCCGTATCTAAGCGGGTGTATTCCACGCATCGTTAATACCCCACACATCGTTTCATAAGGGACAAACACTCGGTGTATGCTCCACGATTTCTTCCACTACCGTGACCAACCTAGCGTGAACGCCACAATCACAAAGCCAAGAAACGTTAAGTCCAAGAAAAAACCCATAAAGGTCGATATTCCAGATCGAAGCCAGGTAAGAAGTACCGAGCTAGAACCAGCCCTTGTTGCCTGCTGATTATAGACCACGGGACCAAAATGACGTCACAAACAGGACCCGTCACGTGGGCGGTAAACTGCAAATGTCTCACAATCTGACACCGACAAGCCGGCCTTTACAGATTCAGTTCGAGCCCTTCTGGTCGGATGACCTAATGGGATCTGCGTCCCGCGCTAAATGGTGTTTGATGCATGAGCCATTACCCCACCACCCGATCGTGAAATTTCGGGTCGGCGGCAGAGTTTGGTGGCCGCTTGAGTTTAGCGTGCCGCGATGCCCGGCACGGTCTGTTGCCCTCTGACCCCTGCCCTGCCCTCTGGTATTGCCTGACCTTCAGCGCGGCCGCTACCACCATCCGCAGACCACCCCAGTCAGGACAACTAGCGAGCCTCTAAAACGACTCCAACACACTCCGCCACGGGCGGGTGAACCGGTATGTAGGCGCTCTAACCAAATGAGCTCTCGTGACGGACCTGAGATGGCTGACTGGCTTGGGACGTCCCGGGCTTGTTGGCTGTTCCCAGCTCCTCCTTCAGCAGCCAGTGCGGCGAGGAGCGACTAAATCCATAGCCGCTCCACATGTCCGTCGGCGTCCGTGGCTTTGGCACCACCTAGTGGAGACATCGGACACTAAAGCTTGCGAATTGAAACCAAAGCGTGTCACTGCTGCGCATCACTACGAAGCAGTCTACGTGGTAAACAGTCACTACGACCAGTGTACTAACATCACAAAAAAATGTTTTGTCACTTTCCAGCTCGCAGTTCAAAGTTCCATTCTCAGCTTTCTCAGCGACCAGTGATCGTCATACTTCGGTCAACGCAAACGGAGCAAACGACTCTTACCCATTGAGTTCGTGGTGGATTATATCCAGTTCGTCACTATACGCTGATGTTAAGACATGCCAGTTAGGCAGGAGGGTGCCAGGATTAGCAATTACTGCCGCTGTCGGCCGCTACCAAAACAAAACACGAAGCGGACTGCGGCCCAGCCGGCATACCCCGGACAGCGAGGGAGAGAACCAAGCGCGTTGGCGTGGGGTCAAGTGCACGCGAACTACAGATGTTTTGATATGAACATCTATAAATTTATACAAAGATAGTTGTATCCATACATCGTCTATATATGGATAATATACAGCACATCAATTGTAAAATATCCCTGACTATTTCATAGTTTATCTATAAATATAAAACTAAATGGTGGTGCTTCCTAAAAGAACATTAGTTTGCTTGTGAAAATTTTTGACCTGTAAACGCCAGCAACTTCGGTCCAAAAGCAGGTCAAGAGGCCGCGGATGTGCCTGCCAAGGGTCAAATGTGGCGGGTTGGTAGGTTGAAAAGTTGCTTCTCCAGCTCCAACCCAGTCCAGGTATGAAGAGCAATCTAGTGCGTAGCATAGAGGAAATTGCGTGGTTTTCCTGTAGAGAGCACATCGTCCTAGTGACGGACAAAATGTAAATTCCCCGCAGAAATGACAAATCATGATACCAAAATGTTGACAACATGTAGCAAATGCGCTTGAAATGCCAGTGCAAACCAGATCTAAAAAGGGGCGTACGTCCTTCTGACCACGTTGAACGACATTCTCTACCGCCAAATGCCCTTTATCCGAAACGGTAAGTTCCCTACCAGCTCCCTCCGAAACACACCGTTCTAAGCAATCTAGAACGACCGCTGCCAGAAACACATCTGGCAATGAGGTTGGTTCTTACCGAAGCCGTCTTATTTTCACACGAACAATTCGTGCCTTACCGAGGCGGTCTAGGCACTACCGAAACAAACCAGGTCATGCCGGGGCCATCTGCCTCCGACATAAGCGATTTAGTTTCCACTAAAGATATCCGGTTCCCACCAGAAAGATCCGGTTATTGATGTTTACACTGAAACGATCTGGTTCCAAACGAAATATTGTCGCTGCCACCAGACGGAGGTGGTGCTTACAGAGTATCTGTTTATAGCGGGATTGACCAGCTTCCTACCGGCGCGATCTGGTTCCCGCCGGACAGATCCGGTTCTTACCGGCGCCCGCCGCATCTTGGCTGCCAGCGCTCGCTTCTCGTCATAGTCGTTAAGCGTCGAGAGGAGTTTCTTCTCGTATCCCGGTGCTCGGCGGTCCATTCCTGAGTGGAAGAAGGCAGCAGTCACGGCATCGTTTCGTCATTATCGGCATTACGAAAACGCAGTTACGCCATGAGTCAAAAACGCATCATACCATAACGAACGTTAATAAATAACCATTTACAACGTTTCTTAAATAACCGTTTGAGACAACGTTCATTACGCTCCAGAAACTTTCCCTCACCACGCATTCACTCGATATAACGCCTTAGTAAACTTGATAGCACTTTTATCGGGCAGAGGAAGGGTTGGACGCATGTTCGATGAAGCGTATGCGTTTCGTACGTAGTAAATATGACGGTGAAAGAGCATCATGGGAGTCAAAGTGAAACAGATCGCACGCCTTTGTAAGAACCTTTGGAACGATATAGTCGATACACGATGCGTGGTGGGACACGTCAGATGACAGGCAGGTTGATCAGATGACAGATCGAACAACACAGCAAATTCAAGGACGGGAAAGCAAGATGGCGACGCCTTTCTAGTTCTATCACGGTATTTCAGGAGAGTGACGAATCAAGCCGCCCATTTTCACTATCTCTGTGCAACACTCCATTCTTGACCGTAACTGGCGATCATCGCCAATTTTTTTCCTCCGCTTCCTGCCTGAATACTTCCATGGGTGTACGGCTGCAAAAGTCTCAGATTTCTCCAGAACTTTAACAAAGGGAGATAGTATGCGAATTACTCCATGTTAGCAGGCCAGCCTCACTGCATGCATTACGGCGTCATGCTCACCATGTTTCGTGTGCGCTGTTCTTACTTGTGCGTGCGGCACAAAATTTCCGACGCAGATAAACGGTGGGCGAGCAAGATATAACGCTAGCTTGACTATAATGGAAAATATCAAATGGTGAAATGCAAAAGCACACCTTTGCGGATGGAGAGACAGCAAATGATCAAAGTGGACGAACAGCGCGGGTCGGATCGGAGCGATGCCTGTCGCGTGTTTTGGCTGACATTGGAGCGCCTAATGGAACGCATATCCGCGTATCATTCAGGTCGAAATCCGATAATGAAACCAGACGAGTTTCCAAGCCTCACTCAAGCCGCTTTCGTCAACATCGGGGCACTGAATGGAAAAACGTAGCCATACACTATTCTAGTCAAAATTCCGTCAGGAAATTCGTCAAGTTTGCCAGCCCATTCAGTCAGATGTTCAGATCCATTGCATTGAATCGTTCTGGCCAACACCGGAGCGGTGGGCCGCAAGCTCCACGTTTAAGCACCCTTCACGGACACAATGCTAACGGACACACCCCGGTAATCTGCCCTCCATCCAGCGCCCCTCCGGTCTGCAATCCAGGCCCGCCTCAGACCCCCTCGCCGTGCAGATGCTGTGGCAGATGCCGGTCCCATCGTTCCCCGGCACCGCCCGAGTAAAGGACTATCGATCAGCGCAGTGTGGCGGCGTTCCCTGCGAAACGACCTGGCAGGGACGACGACCTGGCAGGGACGACAAAGCACGGGTAATCTCAAAACCCTCGCGTTCTCTCTCTCTCTCTCTCTCCTCTCTCTCTCGCTCTCTCTCTCTCTCTCTCCTCTCTCTCTCTCGGCTCTCTCTCTCCTCGCTCTCCTCTCTCTCTCTTCTCTCCTCTCTCTCCCTCTCTCTCTCTCCTCGTCTCTTCTCTCTCTTCCTCTCTCTCTCTCCTCTCTCTCTTCCTTCTCCTTCCGCTCCTCTCTCCTTCTCAGCCCTCTCTCTCCTCTCTCTCCTTCTTCTCCCTCTCTCTCCATCTCTCCGTCCCTCCATCTCTCCCTCTCTCCGTCTCTCCCCCTCTCTCTCTCTCTCCTCCCTCTCCTCCCTCTCTCGCTCCTCTCTCTCTCCCTCTCCCTCTCTCCCTCTCCCTCTGAAGTCTTATCTCTGACCTGATCTGATCCGTCTGATCTTAGCTCATAGCCCCTGCCGGAAAGAACAGACGAGACTCCGCCGAGGCCGGGCGCCGGGAATGCCCCGTTTTAATAACGGGCGGACATCGCGAGGCCACCTGGCTCGACCTGCGGTTAGGGCGACCTAGGGCTAGGACGACCTCGGTGAGAGAGTAATCCACCTCCTCCGCGCGCAGCTGTACGGGAGATCGCCGGCCCAAGGGCGTGTGATCGGGCCGGGATACTCCCTCCGCCGTAACGGATCGCGAACTTGTCTCAGCGCTGGCAGCGTTTCTACACCCCTGGCCTCGGCGAAGCCCACCGAGGGGCGGCCGAGGCCGACGGCGCGGTTCGGTGCCCCCTGACAGTAGCAGGGAATTCATCTCGACGGTGCGCCTGACCCCGACCCATCCTATTCAACAGTGGGAGGGCGCCAGCATGTTCTCTCTGCATGGTGAGAATGTGCATTATGAGCTTTTTAATGCTAATGCATAAAAGCGCCGCCCGAACAGGGGCTCGAACCCTGGACCGTTAGGTTAAAAGCCTAACGCTCTACCAACTGAGCTATCCGGGCGCACGCCCCGCGCTCAGCGCTGGCCCTCGACTTGTTGCCCCGCCATACAATACAGCACAATACAATACAATACGCAATACAGTAAAAATACAGTACAATCTGCATTGAAAAAGGAGAGGGGGAGGGGGCGGGGATCCCGCAGCACAACATAACGACCGTTACGAAGGCCGCCAGGGAGGACAGGACCAATAGGCGCCCTGGATTTTACGGCGACACAAGAGCGCCGCAGGCGACCAAAGAGCACGCTTCGAGAATAAAGTGTCTTTTCAGCGTGAGGTTGAACCGAGAAGCCTTGGTCGGTTGCTGAAGGATTCCGTTCTTAGCGAGGACCGGGGTCCCGTCAGGTTTTGTCTCGTACTGACGGCAATGCTCCAGTGCGTGACGCCGCGCACTGCGAGCGCTCCTTTTATGAGACGCTGGAAGCCGCTGACCTGTCAGGGACAGTGACTGTAATGACAGCAGTGGGCTAGTGAAGAAACGAATGTATGTATTGTTTGTCGTGCCTCTAAAACAGCTGGTGTTCGACGGAATTGAGGGATAATGTATGTATGTAGGTATGTAGGTAGTAATGTATGTATGTAGTATGTAGGTAATGTCTGTATGTAGGTATGTAGGCAGTAATGTATGTATGTAGGTATGTAGGAAGTAATGTATGTATGTAGGCAGTAGTGTATGTATGTAGGTATGTAGGTAGTAATGTATGTATGTAGGTATGTAGGTAGTAATGTATGTATGTAGGTATGTAGGTAGTAATGTATGTATGTAGGTATGTAGGTAGTAATGTATGTATGTAGGTAAGTATGGCTGACCGGCAGACGCATCCGCGCCCACGGAGGCCTGTCATCCTCACAACACCTCCAGTTCCCACCCAACTCCCGTCGTTCGTTATCTGGCACCGGGGGAGCCGGCATCGACGGGGGAAGAGGGACAATGCGTGAGGTGAGACCACTGTGACGACCCAGGACACCATCTGCAACTGCGTGCCGTCTCCTGCAGATGAGCTATGAATGGCGGCGGTAACGGTCTACGTAACCGTAACGGTAATGGCGGTGGTATGAATGGCGGTGGTAACGGGCCTCGCTATCCTGCTGGGACTGACAAGCAGTGCGACACCACCGTGCACTGCGACCAATCGGCCGTGGTGCGCGGTGGACAGATGTGCATGGTGTCGTGCACATGTGTCGTGGTGCGCAGTGGACAGACGTGCACGGTGCACAGATGTGCTATGGTGAACGGCGGTGGTGGCGGGCCCCACCATCCGGCTTGGACGGACAAACAATGCGCCACCACCGTGCACCGCGACCATTCGGCGCCCGCCACGCTCCACCACCCACGACTGTGGCGACATCATTCGGAGTTTCGCCGCGTACAGCGGCAGAACGGAATCCGTTTAGACGGAATCTAAATCCAGATTCAAATCGGATTTCACTTACCTGGTTCACAAAACTTTCGTTCTGAAGAACTCATTAAAAGGATTGGTCGAAAGAAAACACAAATCGTTAGCTGAGATCGGAGATCGAGGCGGACCGTAACAGAGGTCATCCCCAATCCCAGCCAAAAGAGAAAAGCACAAGAAAAAACAACGCGCCAAATGAGCACACTCGCAAAAATATCCGGCATCATTTTGCTTCACTGTATGACGCGATGTTTTTGATTCTACGATGCGTCTTTCAACTCCATCAAAGACAGAGGAACGGAAAGATTGATACGTTTATGCCGTGCTGAGCAAAACCTTCGTAGCGTTCTGACCTAATGCGCTCCCAAAATTTGGACCCATGACACGCTTCCATCGCAAAGTGTCAATGGCAAAGCCAGAACTTCCAGAATTGTTACAGCTATGCGGGGAATGTATGGCAAAAAGAAATATACCACCTGAACCAGAAAGGACTGCCGAAATGTCCAAGCATGTATTTGAAATTATTTTTTATGCGCTCAATTCGGGATCTGTGCGCGGATGGGGTTCAGATTTTATTAGTTGTGAAACATTAACTGGGGAGACTGGGAGAAGGGCGTGCTGGGGAGCAGAGCATGGAAGGGATGCAGGACTTCATATAACCAGATTACATAAGCTTATCATTAGTCCGAATATAGCATACTACAAGCAACCTAAAATACATGTACATATGGAGCAAATACAAATGTATACAGAAATACTTACACGCAAATAAAACTCAGAACAAAATACCTACGCGGAAAAACCAAATTTATAATAAAGTACCTTCATACTTAAAAATATATACATAAATCTATGATACACGCCACTACAAAGAAACTTGCGATGCAGCAAACTACAACCCTAATACAAAAACAAACCCACTGCTATTCATCTTCTCACAATGAATTCACCAACATAGTACTATAAACCTATCGGTACCCTGATCTGAACTGCCATTACCCGTTTTACACGCCAGCCTCATAGGAGCAAGCGTACGAACCTTCGTCACTGGGGGGCGAGTTGCTCCTGGTGGCGCTCCTGCTGCTCCCCTGGGAGCTGTTGAAGCCCTGTAAAACACAACGTAAACAGCACAGTTTGTACAGCGTACACACAGCGCATACAGCATAAACAGCACGGTCTGTGCAGCATGCACAACGCTGTCTGAGCAGCGTACACGACGTAAACAGCAGTTGTTACAGCGTACACAGCGCGCACAGCACAGTCCGTACTGCGCACACATCGTAAACAGCAAACTTTCACGGCCAAGCACGCGGCTGCATTGCGGCTTTGCGGCGACACATCGGACCAAAACTACAAGCAGAGCCGCGGACAGGACTGCGGTACGGAGCAGGCCATGCGGTCGGAGGTGCTTATAAAAGCGAGACAACGTATATTCTCAGACATATTCGATAACGTGTAGACTCCGACCGCTCACTTTGGTTCCATCGCCTGGTCGACGCCTGCTACGGAGGAGAACACTGTACTTAAAAATGGAGCGCATCAGCAAGCCGATTACAACGGCGAGCGGTTCACCTGTGAGCCTCCGGAGCTGTTGAGCGGGTCACCGAGAGATGGCAGCAGGGTCGCGGGCGGGGCAGAAGGCGTTGTTCCGCCGCCCAGTCCAGACAGGGGCTCGTAGGTGGCCGAGGAGAAAGGACACTGCCCACCTGGCGGCAGTGCGTGGTCCATCTTACCCAATAAGCAATTGGTTCCACGTTGTTGAAATAATCTACGCTAACCCATAAGGTTGCGTAACTGAACCAAAAGCCTCTCGTTGATCGCGAGATGGACACGAGTGAGCCGAGCAAACAAAGAGTGGAATCGACATGGCACTGGAGTGACAGGAACGCCGGAGTACCTGCAGCCTGCGGACAAATGCGACGCAGTTATTTTTTGTGTAGTTTACTGCTGTAAAAAGGCATGACCGCAGACATTGCGAGGGAGTGGCACGCCCCTCGCTCTCAGCCAGCCATGTGATCTTAAAATGGATCCGTCAGGAACACACAACGAAGCGGTGAACTATGACCATAATCCCGCCAAACACGTAGATCGGTCACGACATCCAAACACATCCCATACGACCAGCGAATGCAACGGCGGCAACCTTGGTTTCTGAGCTCCGTGCTCTCAGCCAACGAGATCACTCAAATGGCAGCCGAGCGGTGAGCCGAGCTGGTAACCGCTTGCCACCTGCTGGTAACCGTCTGCGATGGCTGGCGGCAGGAGCACTGCCAGCGTCCAGACCGAAGACCATAGGCTCACATGCAGACCACGGCTCGGTGGTCTGGCGAACCAAATGACACGGCCCTCAGCACTTGCCCGAGCGACACATTTTGTGGATGTCTCAAGAAAAAGAGCCAACATTTAAATTGCCGCTTGAACACGGATCAGCATGGTCAGAGATTGATACAGCGGCGCAGCTCAGTGGAGGGAACCACCGGTTGCCGAAAAGTCCTGTGGTGGCAAGGCTAGATTTGGGCGCGATATGAGCGCGGCAGGGGCATCCAACATGCCGTCTGCAACGACGGGAGTTCTCGACAAACAAACGGGCACACGCCGCATAGCGGAGCAGTGTTTGGCGCGATGTAGCTAGCGCCGCAACGACGCAACCCAGCGCCGCTATGTAGATGGCACTGCTACGACACGACTCAGCAGCGCTAACGAACGTAGACGATCGCACATCGTAGGTGTGGTTGTTGGCCTTTTTGTCGAAATAGGACTCTGACCTTGCCAGTCATCTTTTCGGCACCAGAAACAAAACAGAGTGTCTGTTCTCCCGCCCCCCCCCCCCCCCTCCAACATGGGCGAAGTATCGGCCAGACTCGCCCAGGGCTCCAGACTCCAGGCGTCGCGGGGGTCTGTGTCCCTCCCTCCCCCCTCCCCCCCCCCCACCGCCTCAACAGCGGCGAAGGGCCGGCCAGACCTACCAGCCGGCTGCAAGGTGGCGTTCTGGATGAACTGCGTCAGCGCGCTGCTGGCCTCGGCGGCGCCGTAAAGGGCCTCGTCGGCGCCCGTACGGTCGGCGGCGCCCCAGCCGGCGCCCCACGTGGCGCCCAGGCCAGCAGAGGGGGCCCGGGCCAGGCCCGGGTACCTGTCGGCACCAGGGGCGCCTCGAGTGCCACGCGTGTGAGGCGTCACCGACTGCGCACGCACAAGGTTACTTCGTGTTTTGACGGATCGCGCGAATGTCATTTTAGTCATTTGGGCTGAAAATGAGCGGAGGTCAACCAAAAAATAGGCATGCTTCTATGGACTGACGAAGGGATAGGCCTGCAACGACTGATTATAGTTCATTTGAACCGGACACACACTAACACAGATACCAGTTCACGCTAATGGGACCTTTCGCCCGCCAGGTCAGGGCCCTGGAGCCGTCACACCGACATTGCTGACATTCCGCAGACGCCACTGGCTCACCCGCTGAGCCCCTGCTGCACCCCAGGCGCACCCTCTGCACCCTGCTGCACCCCAGACGCACCCGCCGATGCTATGCGGTGGCTGCTGGCGCTGGCCGCCCATGTCGGCCAGCGTCGACCCCAGCTCCCCTAGCGACTGCAGGCCGTAACTGCTGGTTCCGAAGGCAGCCGGCAGGGGCGATGTGGCGCTGAAGCCGGCCAGCGGCGACCACAGCGGACTGGCGGCGGCGGCCGCCGCCGCCGGCGCCGGCGGCGGCCACAGCGGCGAGAACGGCGGCAGGCACCGGCGCACCGTGTGCGAGATGAGCGCCAACCGCCCGTGCGCCCCCTGCAGCCGCGGCGCCGCGTCGAAGAGGTAGCTGGCCGGCACGCCGGGCACCACGGCCGGCCCGGCCAGGCCCAGCAGGTCCCGGCGAGCCGTGTACACGCCGCCTGCCGACGCAGGGCGCCGGCTGTCACGGTGCCCGGCCGCCCACCGCTGGCGGAGGACGGCAGGGGGAGGCGGGAGGGTCCGGGTGCGGTTGTGCTTCGGTGATAATTTGCACACACACATTCATGCAGTCATGGCTCATCATCACCGAGCAGTCATGGCTCCCAAAACCCAACAACAACACATCACGCGCGCAGTTAACGTGCTCTCAGTCCGGAAGAGAGGCAAGGGTCTGGGACTGTCCGAAAATTGGGCAACACCGGGCGTAACCAATTTCAGGGGACCGGGCGTTGTAAGGAAGTCTGCGGGGAAGGGAAGAAACCGCAATAGCAATCTGATCAGCGTGTTTTAGTGCATCGTTAAGACACTACCAAAACGCAGTAGCGGAAAGACGATAAGTTGACGCCCACTTGAAGCTACATTGGACTGCCGAGATTTCGTACGCAGTAATAATCGCGGACAGAGTCTCATCCCGCTGACCACGGACCTACAGGCTTATCCCCAGCTGGGATGCAGTCCCGAGAAAGAACTCAGAGGCATTGCTTTCTACTTTACTTAAGTTGCTCCAACACAATATTTGTACCACTTGTCCTCTTTCAAAACAGAGGCGAGATCAACCGGGCTGTTCGAGAGCTGCGGTGAGGGAAGGCCGCGTAGAGAGTAAGTCACCACGGTGTCATGTCCTCCAGCCAAGCGATGCTTCGCAAGCCACCCGTCCGGCTCGGGCTCGGGCTCGGGCTCGGGCTCGGGCTCGGGCTCCAGCTCTCTTTCAGCACCGACGGGCGCACCGGCCTTCACGCCAAGCCCACCTCCATCCAATGACGTCACCATCTCTGCCGGAAGCCACACCCCCGATGTTGCGCCTATCCCCGCCCCCGGACCACTCAGTGACCCACGCGCACGCCGCTTCTCAGGGACGCTCCGACGGCGCGGCCGCGTCGTCCCATTTCCCAAGCCACTACCAGGGTCGGGACAGCTGACGATGCCCCCCCCCCTCGGCGCGGCCCATCTCGATCCGGCGTCTACTGCAGGACCCCCCTCTCACCCCGGGCACCCGTTTTAAATCTGCAACTGAACGGCTGAACGCCGCCTGAGCGCACCGAACGGGACCCACGCATAGACCCCGCGGGGGGAGGGGGGGGGGGGAGCGGGGGCGAAGGCAACGAAACCATGCCCCACAACTCGAGCAGAAATCCGCCCGGTACGGGCCGAGTTTTCAGTCAAACAACGAACTGTCCGGACCTCCCCAGAGCTTCGCCGCCCAGATTTGCGTCCGCCCACCGATATTGTGCTTCTACCAATGGCATCACCACCGATGGCATCACCACCGATGGCACCACCACCGATGGCGCCACTACCGACGGCACCACCACCGATGGCACCACCACTGATGGCATCACCACCGACGGCATCACCATTGATGGCATCACCATTGATGGCATCACCACCGATGGTATCACCACCGATGGCATCACCACCGATGGTATCACCACCGACGGCACCACCACCGACGGCACCACCACCGATGGCATCACCACCTACCGATGTTGCGCTCCATCGCCATGATGGTGACGAGCACGGCGTTGTCGCGGTTCTTCTGCGGCAGCGAGATGGTAACGTCATGCGCGAACTCCATCTGCTTCAGCGTCTCCTGATCCGGCCACCAGGCGTCCTGCTTCGCCGCCAGCTCGAACGTCATCTTGATCGGCAACGAGCCCTGAACGCAGACGCCTCCGGTTCAGGCGGCTTGAAACGCGCACCACTCTCCAACGCGTGACGTGTCGTGCTAAACTATGCTAAGCGTACTGTGCAAAACGGCCTTAAAGATTAAAAAACCCCGACAAACACAAGAATGACACGTGATAATTATGATTCGGCTTGTATGAACCACGGCAGCCTCCACGTTAAGCGCCGAGACGGACCAGGTGAAGCGGACTTCAAGCCAAGTGTTAAGTATCATCGTGGCGCTGCTCGTGAAGCCAAAATTAACACAAACAAAAAAGACACAAACATACCCCAAGACACAAACAAAGCACGTTTACAACCAATCACTTTACTTAACACGACGGTCCGTGATTCACAGCGTCCAGGGAGGCCACTCTGACGGTCATGTACCCGCAGCGCCCCGCCTCGCCCCGCCCCGCCCGGCTCGGCCCGGCGGCCGCAGCGCCGCGGACTGGGGCGGCCCACCACCCCGGCGACGTACGATCAGCAGCTGGCGCGCCCTGTAGACGGCGCGCACCGGGCCGCAGATCACCACGCTGCCCTTCTTCGTCTGCGGGATGTTGCGGTCCTCGGCGTCCGGGAACAGGATCACGGCGCCTGGGGTCGGACGGCGGGTCAAGGGTCACGGGGCAGTGGCACCGCCGGGTCACGACCCCGCCGGCGTCCTACGCTGCGTGGCGCGGTGCCAGATGGAGTCAGACGAGGAGGCGATGATTAAGCACGGCGAACATGACAGATCACGACAGGTCATATCATGTAAGACAGGTCATGGCAGGTCACATGACATAACAGGTCATGGCAGTTCATATGACGTGACAGGTCATGACCTGTCATATCATGACATGACAGGTCATGACAGGTCATGCGCCAGACAGGTCAGTGTTTAGTTGGACGGCGTTGGAGGACGTCAACGATTTGGGGTGACATATCATGACATGACAGGTCATGCCAGGTCATGCGCCAGACGGGTCAGTGTTTAGTTGGACGGCGTTGGAGCACGTCAACAAATTGGAGTGACATGACTCAGGTCACTTTTTACAGAGAAGGAAGGCAGACTAAGGGTTGACATAAGATATTTCCAGCAAGATGAGAGAGTCCACACATCACCACTTAAAAAGGGGCTGACGTTAGTAGGGACTGGATGCCCCTCCCCATTTAAGAAAAATGAACCAGGAAACTAGAACTACGCGACCATCTGGCCCGGAGACGCGCGCCATTTTTAGTCAGGCTGTTGCTGGATGATCAGTCCAGCACCTCATGTCAGAGCGCAATTCAGCTCTGATCGCCTGACACTAGTCGCCACTCTTCTCGGTACAGAGTGAGCCAGTTACGCCCGGAATTTCACCACTGACGTTGCGAGGATGGCTACGACGACGAAGTTGTTCTGATTAACTAATGGTCAACCCGTCATCATCTGTCGGAAAAACCAGGAGAATGGAGATAAAGTTAAGTTGATATTTCGGCAATTGTAGCTTTCTCTTTTAAAAAAAAAACTGAAAAATTGAGTAGGATCATCGGCAGGAAATTCTGAATTCACTTCTACTTTGTTTCGAGAACGGCATGATGCCAAAATATCAGCCTGGCAACATGCCTAACTATATCTCCATTCTCCTGTTTTTTCGAGTAATAAGGCTAATGTGACTGCCTTTGTGACTATGTTCCTCGCTAATTCCCTGAACAACTTCCGCCATCATTTACTATATTGAGTCTTGAGACTGCATGGCGTTTGACTTTCAACCATGTTCTCCACAACCCGAATTTTCTCCTTGAAATGGCTAGGACTCGGAGTGAGTGTTTCCGATTAAGAATCCAGCGTTCTACAACTGAGCTAACCGGGGAACGTCCTTACAGGTTAGCCCAGTAGCACAGCACCAAATGCTCAGCACCAAACAGACAGGCCCAGCCAGGTGCTCCACACCGCACTGTATGGGGGCGCGCATAACGAGTGAAAAACCCCTCCCGACGGCAGTAAGGTCAACGAAAACCCCTCCGGACAGCAGCAAGGTCAACGAAAACCCCTCCGGCGGCAGTAAGGCCAACGAAAACCCCTCCGGACAGCACCAAGGTCAACGAAAACCCCTCCGGTGGCAGTAAGGTCAACGAAAACCCCTCCGGACAGCAGCAAGATCAACGGCGCAACAGAATGACTTCAAGCAATATGATTTCGCTCAACGAGTAAATAACAGAGGAGACAATACATAGATGGTTCTCTTTTCTGCAGACAACACTTCCGTAATGCAAGGACCTTAGCTGTCGCCACATTTGAAGTATCACCGAGTCGCACTCGATTCCAATGAGGGCTGACGTCACACCCACAACTCTACTTGAATGCTTCAGCGTGAATAAGAAAAACATGCCGTAAAGACAGATACCATGCCACCAGAAGATGCCGTATCTTGCTGCGCATGCAACAGAACAGTTATCCTGCGGTAGGACCGATCCCCTAAAACAAACTGAACGGACTAAAAACTAATCGGAACACTGAACGAGACCCTGGGCCGTTGGTAACGCTGCCGCAGTGTGACCACCGTCGCCCGCAACGCACCCGTTCTCTGCATGATCAGCTTCACGTTCCCCTGGACGATCTTGTGGTGGTGGATGGAGATCTCCATAGTGTTGGTCACGTGGCCCGCCTCGTGCGGGTAGTGTCGGTGGATCAGCTCGGTGATCAGCATGTCGGTGGCCGCCTGGCGGGGTCACGCCGAGGTCGCAGAGGTCAACGACCCAGCGGCGCAGGCGGCACGCCGACGGTAAGGACAGGGGCCAGAACACCAGACAAATGCAACTTTCACTCACACCTACAACCGTAGCACTAACTTTTTTAAATCTGTAAAACCACAAAAGTATTACCAGAAAAATGCATTGTTTTTATTGCTACCAAATCTAGGCGTCGCACACACTGAGCAGCGGCGCCACGGAGCGCTTACACCCACATAGGCTGGAGAACGCCCAGTAACACCCTCCAGCCAGCCTACAAAACTCATCGGATGGCTGATGTTACGTGACGCAATGCAGTGTCACAACACAAAACCGTTTCTTCAAACTGCATTTCTAATTTCATTTTTTTCGTGGTGAGAAGCATCACCGACCGCGAACCGGCTGCGGACGCTGGTTTGCAGCGTTATGGACTGGCTTGTCTCCATCCCGCACCACGATCCGAGTGTCAATTGCCCAGTCATCCTACTCGCCGGTTAACTTGCGTCAGGCGGCCACGTCAACAACTTGCTCGCTGTCCAGATATTTTCCTTCAAAAGTATAGATAGTTCTCCCGGTTTTCCATCCCTTTTACACATCCACAGCAAGGTATCCGAAACTCTGAAATAGCTTCAGACAAAGGCGCCGTATTGCGGGAAAACGGGGTTCGCGTGCCAAACACTCAAACCTGCTTCAAAGCAGATCCCAAACGTGAAAATACCCCGACGGTCTCGAATCGCTTACACCACGTACCTGGATATATTACACCACGCACCTGGATATATTACACCACGTACCTGAACATATTGCACCACGCACCTGGATATATTGAAACACGTACCTGGATATATTACACCACGTGTCTGGGTATATTACACCACATACCTGTATATATTACACCACGTACCTGGATATTCTCAGAGTTCTCCTCCGAGCCCTTGATGAAGAGGGCCGTATATTGGTTGGATGACTTCGCCTTCGGGTTGACCTGACCGTAACAGTGAGGGCAAGCTAGTAACGGACACGGTATGCGTCACATTCCTTTACTACGCCCGAACTCCAGACCTGCTTACGAGCTCACAAGCTCACGAGCACCATGAGCTCAGACCAGCTCATGCGCGAGAGGCACCCGGAAAGTAGTACAAATCACGCCACGTTGCACAAAGACGTTTTTAGGAGACAAGGACAGAGCTTGCGAATTGTTCACACAACACAGAGCACCCAATATATATCAGCTTAAACACCACACAGCTGTATCGTGATCTACGGGATATGAAGCGGAATGCAGCCACTAGTAAGTCGCGCAACATTGAACCACACACGCGTCACGCCTGTATGGTAGCGCAGCACACAGGGCGCTTGCAGAACGACCGTGACCTTGAGGCGGGCGGGCGGGCGCCACACCGCCGCCGCCGGCCGCCCTCACCTTGACCCCGAAGCGGTTCTCAGCCCACTCGATGTGGGTCTTCCAGGGATCGGGGATGTCGCGGGTCTCGCGCAGCGTGCCGTTCCGGTGCAGCGGGTGCGAGTGGGGCAGTGTGACGCTGAACACCAGCGGCTGCAGCAGCTGACGGCCAGAGGTCACGGACGGGGTCACACGAGCGGTCGTGTCAGAATTAACTCAAGGTCACGGCCGGGGTCCCCCACAGACCGTCGGGACCGAGCTCTGGGTCGAGGTCAAGGTGGGGGTCGAGGTCAGGGTCGAGGTCCAGGATCAAGATTCAGGGTCGAGGTCCAGGGTCGAGGTCCAGGGTCGAGGTCCAGGGTCGAGGTCCTCGTTCGAAGTCCCCGTTCGAGGCCAGGTTTGAGTTCAGGTCTGAGGTCAGGTTGAGGGTCAGGTTTGAGGTCAGATCTGAGGTAAGATTTGAGGTGAGGTTTGAGATCAGGTTTGAGGTCGTTTGAGGTCAGGTCTGAAGTCAAGTTTGATGTCAGGTTTGGGGTCAGGTTTGGGGTCAGGTTTGGGGTCAGGTTTGGGGATCCGGGAGGAGGTCGAGATTGGAAGTATAGGTCAGGGTCGAGGCCATGAGAAGACGGTTTCAGAGCTACGATCAAGGTCGCGGACACGGCGGGGCCCGCCAGGGCGCAGAATTGCGTTAGGGCACACAGGAAGGTGGGCTGGGGGTCGCGCTTCCAGCAGCAAGTGCGCCATTAGGACCTGGGTCACGGGCAGAGCCAAACAGGACCCGAGACAGATTCGGGGTCACCGGGGTCGCCAGCAGGGTCAATCAAGATCTAAGGCAGGATCGGTGTCACCGAGGCAGCCATCATGAAGGTGAACAAAATCTGAGTCAGGGCTGACGAGTCTTGATATATACTCATATATATGTGACTATGACTCATATCTTATTATGTATGACTCATAGCCTGAGCCAGCTGCAGCGTCAGCGTCAAACCAACGTCCAACTCACATTCGAGTCAGTCAGGGTTACTAATCAAAACAAACGCGACCCGAGTCAAGCACAAACAGACCTTTCACAAACAGGGGCGCAGTTTCGTAAAAGAATTGTGGATGAAGAGACCTTTCTCTCTTTAGTTCCTTCACCGCCTCTGAATGTTCAGCCCACTCAGCGTCGTGCAAAAAAAAAAACAACAAAACAGCAAAAAAAGGGTACACGCTAGCGTGGGTTTAGCTTCCGGCGGGATCTGGCCCTGCTGGCTCGCGCGGCACCGCACGAACAAGACACCCGCCCTCACCAAGTCGATCCGGTGTCCACAGCGTCCACAGATCCCGTGTCCATACTGGTCGAGCCATGGCGAGGGTAGCCAATCGATGATCGACATATACAACCAGATCCGCAACATATCAAACACTCATCCGCATCCGGATCGATGACGGATATGGCACTCGCCAGGATCCGGATCCGTGACATATCGGGCACTCACCCATGTCCGGATGCGTGACAGATCGAGCACTCATCCGTGTCCGGATCCGTGACGGAGCGGGCACCCATCCGTATCCGTGACAGATCGGGCACTCGCCCGTATCCGGATCCGTGACAGATCGGGCACTCACCCGTATCCGAATCTGTGACAGACCGGACACTCACCCGCATCCGGATCGGCGACAGATCGAGCACTCACCCGTATTCCGATGCGGGCGTACTCGATGTTCGGTATCTCCCCGGAGAGGGAGACGCAGTTGGACTTGTCACACTCTGACTGCTTGTTGCAGTCCGGGAAGTGGATGTGACAGTCTGTCAAACATCGGAAGGTGGGTGTGACAGTCTGTCAAACATCGGAAGGTGGATGTGACAGTCTGTCAAACATCGGAAGTGGATGTGACAGTCTGTCAAACATCGGAAGGTGGGTGTGACAGTCTGTCAAACATCGGAAGTGGATGTGACAGTCTGTCAAACATCGGAAGGTGGGTGACAGTCTGTCAAACATCGGAAGGTGGGTGTGACAGTCTGTCAAACATCGGAAGGTGGGTGTGACAATCTGTCAAACATCGGAAGGTGGGTGACAATCCGTCAAACATCGGAAGGTGGGTGACAGTCTGCCAAACATCGGAAGGTGGGTGACAGCCTGTCAAACATCGGAAGGTAGGTGTGACAGTCTGTCAAACATCGGAAGGTGGATGTGACAGTCTGTCAAACATCGGAAGGCGGGTGTGACAGTCTGTCAAACATCGGAAGGTCGGTGACAGTCTGCTAGACATCGAAAGGCGAATGTGTCTGCCAAATATTGGAAAGCTACTGTGACAGTTTGCATAGAAAGCCAAGGTGACAGTTTGCCCAACACCGCAAACGTTCTCCCATATATGACCAGGAGACCAGGAGATCCCGCCGAAGTGCAGTACATCGCTACCTCCCATCAACATACGCGCCGGGTCGCGGTGCTTCCTTGCGAGAACAACGCTCACACTGAGTTTAACCCATCGGCCAGCTGGTGCTTTGAAGAGACCATGCGGAATACTTCATGTAATCCGCATGTTTGTCAGGTGCTACCGGTCGAAGTCTAGTTTCTGTATACCGTCCCTTCGTTTCTGAAAACCACAGCCTAAACCTGGGTGGGCATCACCAAATACACCGGTTTCGCCATCCGCCATAACGCACGGCTTCTGAAACGTCCACAGCGGGCGGCTTCCATAACGTCCACAGCGCACGGCGCGAGGAGTGGAGCGGGTGGATGGGCTGCACGTGTGATGGTGGGGTTCTCCAGTTTTACAAAATCTGATTAAAGAAAGTTTGTGTTTGGATATCAGTTTCAACTTGTGGGCGAGAGCGACAGCGTATCGATTATAGTCTCTTTTGTCCCCGTGTGGAGCGTTCGTCACCACAAGAAATCTGTTGACAGCATTGCGATCAAACAATTTAAACAAGTGTCAAAGGCTGCCCCACAAATCAGTTTTTTCAGGAAAAGCTCTGTTGCTTTGACCTCGACCCAACCTTCATACCTGATCCAAGGTCAGTGATATCGTTGTTTTTTGCCCGTGTGTGGCGTGTTCGTCACCATCCACGCCATTCATGAAGTCGAACAAGAAATATGTTGACAGCATTACGATCGAGCAATTTCAAACACGCGCCGAGAGCTGTCAGATAAAACAAGTTTTCTTACGAAAAACTATGCCGCTTTGACTTCGACCCGACATTCATACCTGATCCAAGGATAATTAGATGAGCTGTCATCTTAATTTAATTATCGAAACCATCGCAAATTCATACGACTTGACCAGACACACTGTTGTCGTATCAGCTTGAAATGTTCCTTGAAAGAAAAAGTCACAATTGTCTTTGGTGCCAGCCATGGCCTGAATGCGAGCCGCTACCCGTTAGCGACCTTCAGGGACGCAGCGCATGATTTTACGTCACGAGGCAAGCTATTCCATTGACCAGGCTATGCCTCGTTTGGCGTCGCCACGCCCCACCACCCAGAAGTTATTCCGGGCATATCTTGGAGAGGTCAAACTGACCCGTCTCCACCAGAGCACTCGATGACTGCGGAAGGGTGACGGAGATGGCAGGGACTCTACTACGCCACATGTTAGCATGACAAGCGTGTTCGTCGTCGTATGCACCGTGTTCAAAAACGTGGTTTTGGACTGTTTGGGTGTGTTTGGGGACCCATTGGTGATATCTTTCGACGCCCCTCTGATCTCGTCCGTGAGAAAATATCCAGCTTTGGTAGCAGTCAGGTGCCACATGTATATTTACTCTTTGCGTTTGTTGTTGAGTGGAAGCTCTGTTCGTCCAAACTTCTCCGTAGAACTGCTGCCTGCAGGGTGCAGCGACGGATCTAGCCTGGAGTTGGGGGGGGGGGGGGGGACCGTTCGTCGCCAGCTGGCTGGTGTGGGATCCGAGGTCCAGTGCGTGGTGCCTCTCGCGAGTACCTAGTAGGGACATCATTCAAAACCGAAAAAAGCACCGAAATGCTTTTGAATCTTAAACAGAAGTTAAAACAGTTAAAACAGTTAAAGTTAAAACAGACAGTAAGTAGACGAAACTTTCATGAAGTTCTGGGAATGTTTTGGGAGGGGGCCAAAACGTACTCTCAGAGGTCTTTTCGGGGGGCCATGGCCCCGGGCCCCCCCCCCCCCACGATCTGCCTACTTTCATGAAAGTAGGCAGATCCTGGAGCCTGCCGACGTTCGTCGCTCTTAAGTCCTGACGTGCAGACACAATCTCTGCGCGACTTGTGATGTTTATGTTTGCTGGCAGCGGATTGGTTCAGAGCAGCCTGGCCTGCGGCACATTTACCCCACATGGCATGCTTCGCACATAATGCACGTGCCCCGCAAGATTTCTGCTGGTACCCACTGGTACGTACTGGTTCTGTTGGAGAGATCTCTGCTGCACTTTCCTTCTACTCCGACTATGTGGCTATGGTCCGTATTACTGACGTTTACTGGCTCCTACTGGTACCTACCGGTACCTACTGGTACGTACTGGTTCTGTTGGAGAGATCCTTGCTGCACTTCCCTCCGACTCCGATCATGTGGCTGTGGTCCGTGTAACTGACGTCCACCTTCAGAGACGCTCGGTTCATGTTCTGGAATGGAACCGCGACCCCCAGTGACGTCACAGCGCATCATGGCGTGCTCTACCCTCGCACTGACAAGCCCAAAACTCAACCTTGCCCGTGCGGCCGGAGCCAAACCGACCACCTGCGCCACTCAGCCCACAACGATGAAAAGTAAAAAAAAAACAAGCAAAGGGATCACAACAGCAAGCAAAATGATCAAAATGAGTATGTGTGGGCGGAGCGGATCGGGGCGCAGAACCGGGAGTCCACCCGAAGTCCATAGGCTCGCCCATAGCGGGCGAGCCGGTGACGCAGTCGGCTTCAGGAAGAGCTTATCCATAAGGCTGATAAGGTAGTCACTGCTCCTCTCACCTGAACCAAGTGTCAGCTGTTACATGCAGCCGTTACAATGCGATGCGACGTCACAATGCGACACGGTACGCGGCTACGAACACCCGTGGCGTCAGCCAGCGTCCTTTCTACCCCCTTCCCCTCCCCCCCCCCCCCCGTGCCGGTCCGCCAAACTCACCCGGACACCCAGTTCTCTGTTGATGATGGATCTCGCGGCGTCCACGTCCCCCGCCAGGCCGACCACGCGCACCTGAGGGTCTGACACGTGACCCCGGTCACCAGCGGGCACCAGAGGTCATCAAAGGTCACCAACGGTCACCCCCTCCGTCAAGGTGACCTGCCGCGAGATCTCAGTAGCTGGATACGGAGGGGGCAGGGTCGGTCGGTGGTCGGTGGCACGTGGGGAGGCCCACCGGAGGTTGGGGGATGAGGAGTTTGTGTCAAAGTGAGGTCGCAGGTCACAGCGCAGTCACGGATCGTCGCACACCACATGCAATATCGGCTTATGGCTCACGTCCGGTGCCGGCTGAGCCTGTGTACAGTTAGAGGAGCGAAGCAAACCATTTTTTAAAAGAGCGATTATAAAATGCGGCACCACGGAGTGCATGCTACAGCTGTCTGTAAATAAAAGGGAGGCCTCCGCTGCCTCCTGCTTCCACCACCCTTGCTGATATCACAAGGGCAAGGGGTAAAAGGATGAGCAGGACCCAAACACTGGTAGCAGTGGAGACGGACATGTTCAGCGTCATGGGACGCCGAAGGAATGCCTTAACATGCAACTGCGCACAGGAGCGACCAACTATTGATGCGAGTGTTCCATATTTGGAGGATATGGAAGCAAGCATCAGAAATGATGAAATAAGATCGGTTATAACTATCGGTATTCTTTTAAGTGGAAAAGACGGCTAAAGACAATATAATCAATATCATAAAATAGAAATTGTAAAATAGTAAAAAAAATTGTAAATAGTAAACGTACTGCTCAAGGCGTCAATGATTCAAGGCGCTTGATTGCGTTGTCGAACCCTGCGCAACATTGATTGAGAGCCAATGGGCGACCGTCATATCTGGAGGTCGTGCTCATGAATGCGCCGCATGGGCAATGGAATGCCAGGATTTTAATGGCGTCATGGATGCCAGAGTGACCTTGAAATAGTCTGCACGAAGTAGTCTACACATCTTCGCGGGCATGTAGCTCAGAAACTATAGGGCTGTATGTCTCGGAAACGGCGGGCTGTGAAATGCACCAAATGGTCTGCGAGATGACCATATCTGTTCAACACCCCATATAAATGTGGAGCACTTCCTTTGACTAACGCATGCCATGCTGGCACGCTTGGAGGACAAGCACCATACGCGGGCCGTATGATGGAACACGCGAAAGCTTATCACTCTATGATCTGCAGTTGGTAATGGCCATATTTAGCACAACAGTGTGGTCTCCGGTGTGCTCAATGGCGTCAGACATTGCCCACCTAAACCTGTCACAGATGCAATATTTGCTGAATGGCGATATATCTGCAATCCTCCAGGCCCAGATACTCACCACGCTTGGACGAAGTGCCACAATCCCTTGGCCACTGGATCCTCGTGTTCGTGTCTGCCTCTATCTGAAATATAACGACGTGACTAGACACCAAACGTCAGCTGTCCAAACGTCAGCTCTATCTGAAATATAACGACGTGACTAGACACCAAACGTCAGCTCTATCTGAAATATAACGAGGTGACTAGAATCCAAACGTCAGCTGTCGAAACGTCAGCTCCATCTGAAATATGACGACGTGACGCAGACACCAAACGCCAGCTGTCCAAACGTCAGCTCTATCTGAAATATAACGACGTGACTAGAAACCAAACGTCAGCTGTCCAAACGTCAGCTCTATCTGAAATATAACGACGTGACTAGACACCAAACGTCAGCTGTCCAAACGTCAGCTCTATCTGAAATATAACGACGTGACTAGACACCAAACGTCAGCTGTCCAAACGTCAGCTCTATCTGAAATATAACGACGTGACTAGACACCAAACGTCAGCTATCCAAACGTCACCTCTATCTGAAATATAACGACGTGAGTAGACGCCAAACGTCAACTCTCCAGCGGGACGTCAGCAGGGAGAACAGCAAGCGCATGTCATGACTGTGGGAACGATGTGTTTGCTACGCCAAACACAGGTGTTTTATTGTCGTACACTGACCACATACATTCAAATTATGCAATCCTACAACTATTTCCGAAACAAAACCCTGGTGTTCAAAGTCTGTCAAGTCTCTCCCCACCACGTCCTAATCACCTTGGCCTCCCTCTGCGTCCAACTACACACATAACCCCGCGGCTGTCAGACGGGGCCAGCGCCACCACAGTGCGTGATACCCCACCCCATCCCACATACTGGATTCGAAAACCGAGCTGCGGGTGGCGCCAGCGTTCAAAGATATGGTTTTCGTACAGCGGCATATTCGAGATGACAATATGTGGTTCTTATAAACAAAAATCTGGAAATGCTGTACATGCACCGCACGATAAAATGCCGTGCTATGCAGCGCAGCGCAGAGCAAAGCAAACCATACCACCGACAATACTGCAAGGACCTGGGGCACAAGGGGACAAAGCACACAATGTCTAGGTAGTCAAAGGAAGCCCCGCGTGCACCCCACGAGCTCCCGGCGTTTTTGACTCCCTAGGCGCTCCCTCTCTCCAGACTCAAAGTACTCCAGGGACTCTGGACACAAGGGACCGGGGGTCAGAGACTCCAGGGCCTACAAGTGATCACGGCTTCTGTCGCAAGCGACGTCCCACTGGCGTCTCTCCAACTCACCTTCATGAAGAAGGCGTCCACACTGCCCGGCGCACCTGAAAGAGTCAAGAGCGATACCTCAGCCCACAGTAACACTCCGGTCCACAGCAACACTCCGGTCCACAGCAACACTCTGCGACACTCGGCGACACTCCAGCCCACGGCGACACTCGGCGACACTCCACCCCATAGCGACAGCGTGGTAAAACCGCCGGCTGTGACAGCGGTAATGTCAAGACATTGCAACAGTGCTGACAGCTCCGACAGCGGCGACGCAGCCACGTCACCAGCTACGACAGCGTCGGCATCGGGCCACCGGTGCAGGCTGGCGGCGTCAGCCTGCGACAATGCCGCCCGTTCAGCGGTCAACAGCGTTTCTGGTGACGACAGCGGCTAAGCTGGCACCGACACATCCGACTTGGCAGCGGGAACACCGATAGCATCAACCACTACGACAACATCAATGACACCGAAACACCAGCCTCTCCGACATCAGTGACACCGACAACACCGACCCCTCCGACGACACCAGTGCGACAGCACACCGATCGCATATCAGGGAAATGGTCGCACGATCGTTCTCAGGATCGAGCTCTGTTTCGCGTCCTTGTGAGGAGCCAGCGAGGCGCCTCGTGTGACGTGTGACAAGCGGGGGGACAGCATGCCCGAAAGTTGCCACCTGCTATCGTGCAGATGTCGCACATAACAAGCCTGATGGAGTCCGACACCTTGGCAACTGACACCAATGATGCGTTTATCCATTCATGAACTAAATACAACAATTTCCAATAACGTAACAATCCAAAAATTACCAACTTTTGTACCAATTACAAAAATTACCCATTCACGTTCTGTTATGTTTATTTACTGTCATTCGTCAAATTTTAAAAATCGGAGGTCAACTGATGTGGCACTCGCTAGCTTATTCAGTAACAGCATCGCTTGGAAACTGCCGGCCAGAAGTCCGGTGAAGCCAGACAACTTGATCGGTATACCCAACGGATGGTTATGACTTACAGCTTCGAAAATTGTGACAGCAGTATTACAACAGCCGTATACCTTAAGGAACAACGGCATACGGCATATACGTAATATATATATATATATATATATATATATATATATATATATATAATAACTTATATACTGCTGGGTGCGGAATGGGCGGCAAGATATACCACCTTGCCAGCTTTTACTTGAAGACTTGGTACTTGACGTTCACTTTTGTGAAGTTATTAGGTGTCGTTAAGCTCTTTTGTTGAGCTGTTTTATTAAGTTCAGTTCAGTAGCAATATTCCAATTCAGCACACGGCCGAAAAGCCTCTGGGCTTATGTATCCTACATCGTGGTGCATGTCCACATACCTGTGTATATCTCAAACCAAACGGGGAACAGTTCTGGATAATTCCCGCTGGCAACACGGCAGTCGAATACGCGACAGGTCAGTGTGCACGCGAGGCTTCAAGCCTCCACGCCGATCGAACTGAGACAAAAACACACCTTCACACCCAACTCCTCCTTTGATTCAGCGTGCCACATCTCATCTCTTTTGATTTCATTTGATCAGCTTCTTTGGGGTGGCGCGTGCTTCTTAGCCGCGGTGGCAGCGCGCCAGCTGCAGGACTCGGGACTACCTGTCGGGAAACCGAGCTGCTTCCCTGCCGCCACCCTGCTCCATCGCCGGATGCGTTGGACTGCCACGCATAGCTAGAGCATAACGGAGCAGCTACTGGGATGGCGGGTCGGTAATCCCAGCCTGCAGGCTACATGTCAGAGGGGGCCCACTGCACGTGGGAACGTACCACACCACAGCGAGGTTGTACAGCGGATCTTCATGCCGGTGAGCACGGCATGCAGTTTCGTGACTGGTGCGGGGCTGGTTTCGGGTCAGGTGTGCGGGTGTTCCTGACTGGGATGTCAGATGATCTATGCCCATGATACGCAGCGATCGCTCACGTGCCACTGGATTTTTTTTACGAAACAGGGAGCATCCAAAAAAACGTGGTAAAATCTTAATCGAGTAATCTAAAAACAAGTCCGTCTTTACGTGTCACCGAACACCCCTCCTCCGTATGCCGAGGGAGGCCGAAAGATCGCATTGTCTGCCTGCCAAGCAGTTCAAGAAAATATCAGTGAAACAAAGTGGTCCCATGTCATCTACATGGATTCCACAAATGCCTAAGAGCTGTTTTCAATCAACACCGAGTTAAAGATTTTCCAACACCTTTAAATAAAGAGGTTTATGCCCTCCGTCTCCTGGCGACGGGCCACATTTCGCATTTGGAGACGAACCTTCGTGCCGTTTCGCGCTCGCTCGCGCAGGACATCCCGCCACCAAGGCCGGTCTTTGGCTCCCTGACCCGCCGCCGACCAATCCGCTGGCAACTAGCCAGCCGTGGGGAGGGGCCTGTTACAAATAAATGTCCAAGGATCCAAACAGTGGATTTGAGTTGTGTGCTTTGATGACATTCACCATGCGGCGATAATTACATATTCCTACATGCACTGCCTTGATTCCGTAACCTTTCATTAAAAAAACATGCGAGGATTTCGTGATTTGGCTTTATCGTGCTTTCCAAGATACATTATCCGAACTGAACAGCCGAGCAATATTACACAGCACCCATTCGATCCGTTCATTGTACATTCAAGATCTCCATCTGAGATTGCGCTCGGCCAAGGGAGAAGTATTAGACGAATAATTATCTCCCCGATAATCATCCACAGAGATTCTCCATTTTTACTGGGCCGGTCCGCAAATTATTCCCCAGATTAACCTCCCATGCGCCATCCACAGCCAACGGCCATAGCTGTGCATAGCGAAAACAGATTCTCCGTCTTGTCCATGCCCTGAAAATTATCCGCGACTCTCCCTCGCCACGGAAATTTTTCTGGGATAATTTTCCATGCCGGCAGTGCCGAACGCCATTCCGGGTAAATTTTCCAACATTCCGGATAATTTTCAGAGATTTTCTGCCGGCCGAACGCGCCCTTAATTTGAATGTTTCACAGTTGAGTATATTGAGGCAAGCATCAGATATGATGAAACACGCTCGTTTAGAACTATTTGTATGCCTTTTAAGCGGAAAAGACCGCCCTAGACAGCACAATTCTCTGTTTAGTACATGTGCTCCCCAATGTGTCAGGGTTTAATTTCGTCATTGTACCTTGCACGTAATTGATTGAGAGCCAATCGACGGCCGTTGTATCTGGAAATTACGCTCATCAACGCCAGGTATGAACGCCTCGGCAATTATGTTTTCCTTGGCGTCGATCGCCGCATGGCTTGTGGAATGACAGGACTTGAATGACACTATAACGTCATGAATCCTAATGTGACTGAAATGCTCTCCCGACATTCCTTCCATCCTTTTCGCGGGCGTGATGCTCAAACTGGAGGAGTTCAGGTCTTCAGAAATGCAGGATTGAGGACAGCACCGAAAGGTCTTCAAGATGGCTATTTCAGCCCAAAACTCCACGTAAATGTGTAAGACTCCCTTCAATTAAAGCATAATTATAGGAATGTTTCACCAAGCTGGGAGCACCATAATAAACAAAAAGCCCTCTAAAATGCACATTCCTACGCGTGCTTTGTCCGTCAAGACCTGCAACAGCTTCAAATTTTGCAAGTCCGTAAAAAACGGGTGCCGTTGCTGGGATCTTGTGATCCATTTAAGTTGGTTTTAGGACATTCAAGAACATGGGGATACACGTTCCACTACACCTAAAAGTAGAACGGCAGCTCTGGGAACCAGCACTCGCCGTTGGGGCCCAGATCCATCCCACGGAAGTTCGAAAGTTCGAAAAGTTCGGAAGTTTGAAAAGTTCCAAATTAAGCGCCCTTTAGCTGCTTTGTGTGAACATACGAATTGGAGACCAACATATTCGTCTGTCCTTCGATTCTTAAAGCATTGCTAAGTATGACGTGCTAGTTGAACCAACCTTTTTTACGTAAGTTGTTCAGTATTCCTCGGAAAGAAACCAGGGGAATGGAGATATAGATGGGTTGATATTTCGGCAACACGCCGTTATCGGAACAACAGCAGAGGTGAGATCAAAATTAACTCAATTTTGCAATTTTGAATTCACCTCTGCTATTGTTTCCATAAAGGAATGTTGCCGAAATATCAACACATCTATATTTCCATTCCCCTGGTTTTTATCCAAGGACTAAGGCTATTAGTACTGTCTTATCTCCCTATTTTTTTTAAGATTTCCTACCACGCAAAATAAATCGCCCGAGTTTGTACTATCACAGCATGAAAGCAAGGTCAATGCCACAAAATCGGTCTACCTGTTAGCCGCCGGTGCCGGGCCGTACAGCAGCCGACCCAAAACCTGGCAAGGATCCTGGCCACGCCATCCACCACATTCACTGGTCTCGACGGATGCACACGGCTAGTGTGCGGGCACTGTCTTTAAATACGCTGTCGCCCGCGCGCGTCAGCACCGGTGAACCACTTCGCGATTAGCCGCGCTAGAGGTGTACATCATGTCGGCCGGGTCGCGCTCTAGGTCACCGTGGGAATTTTTAAAAATCACCGAACAGAAACAGACGGGTCACCTCTCAAGCTTGTGCGCCTGGTTAGCCCTGGCGACCCTCCCCTATCGAGGGTCCAGGGAAGCCCCAGACAAGCTCATTCCTGCCGATGGGTGGTGCGGCACACGCTGCCAGGACGGGGCCTTGCAACGGTCAAGTGCCACACACGGCTGTGACGATTTCAACGCACGTCAGTGCGGCGGCTGCCACAACGGCCCTTCTTCATCCCATTGTCATGACACCGGCTTCAGCGCGCGCGGATCAGATCACGGCGGCCGTCAGAGCCACGCAATGGACGGGCGGCGGCGGACTGTGCTGCGCTGTGCTGTGCTGTGCTGTGCTGTGCTGTGCTGGCGGTGCCTATCGGTGCCAGGCCCGGTGATTCGGCGGCGCCGAGCCGGTAATTTGGCAAGCAATGGCCGCGCCTTTGACGCTCGCTCGATCCGTTGCAAGCTGGCAGTCATGCGAGCGCCGACAAACCCTCAGCGGTAGTGCGGCGGCACCCACTTCTGGGTT